GTATTTGCTCTTTAAGATTGCAGGAAGATGGACTTGCTGATGAAGGAAACAGAGGGAAGCCATCAATTAATCGGACACATCGCTAGCCAAGTGTTTAAATATAGTAAGAAAGAAAATATGATGCTGCAAGAGAAATTTGGGCATCGCCCTTACGTAAGTTTAAACATTCTCACGAATCTGCTATTAATATGAGATTTAGGGATTTAAAAACTTGTGAATAAATTTGCAGACAAAATAAAGCCATTGACGCGGAACACTTCCTTGTGCATCTTCCTCAATCCCTAAATAAAAAAAATCGGGAATATAAGATGATATTATTAGATTGAAAATTGCATGTTTGAAAGATTTTCTAAATGAAAGATCTCCCTTTCACTAGGACTTTATACATAAAAAGCTCTTCTAGCTATAAACACTGCTCTCTTACAGACTAATTGGGACACAGCAGGCGTCGATGTCAAAGGTCATCAGTTAACGTATGTAAGTGGACCATGCACGTGTTTCCAGTGCTTCGTGAAATCCCCGGAMGAACCACCAAAGCGTCATGGTGCCCAGTTCCARCTACCACTTTCCAGGGAATGTCCAGGGTTTGAGGTACGATAGTCACATCAAAATTAAAATTTTATGAATCAAGTTTTCCACTATAATTCAAGGTATTCCGGAATCTGAAACCCTTAGCCTGCGTTCAGCCGAGCCTSAGCTGGTCACCCCCTCCGAAAAATCCTTGGGTCCGCCCCTGCTTTGAGTCATYGTCTGGCTGATTATTTCACAGGTTCTTATTCAAGAAATCGGAGATCGACATTTCATYGCCGTTGGTGTGGTTTGTGCTGATAATAACCTTCACAAGTTCCCCGGATGGGAAGGCAATTCCGCAGGGTATCACGTTGATGACGGAAGAATCTATGATCGGCAAAATCAAAAGATTGGAAAAGAGTGCAAAGGTAACTTTTCACTATACGTCTCGCCATACAAGGCTCTGATTTCTGATGCAATTATGTTTTGTTTTATCCTCCCAATAAAGAAACTGAGTTTAGACTTTCACTGACTCCTMGCTCGCTTACTTTTTAAAATCTTTTTGCTCGATTCTTGAAATAATTTTTTTTTGTTAGACCAATAGACTGTATCAAATACAATATTCTATTAGTATGCGTAAAACAAGCATAACTATAGGAGTATATAGTTTCTACTGA